CCCTTTCCCGTCCGTCCTTTCTTTGTCTCCTTTTTCTGCCGCTTTCTCCTTCTTTCGATCGCTTCTTTCCATCCTTCTTTTTCTGCTTTCTCTGTTCCCACCTTCTCTCTTTCGTGGTTTCTCTCCGTCTTCCCTCTCTTTCTTTCCATTCCTTCTGTCTCTTCCCTCTTTTTTAGTTCCCTTCCCTTCTCTCTCAGTTTCCCTTCGGCCTTTCTTCTTTTCCGGTTTCTCTCCTTCTTTCCTTTGGTTTCCTTCACTTCTTTCAGTTTTATTCTCTCTGCATCGCCTTCCTTCCTTCCTTCCTTCCTTCCTTCCTTCCTTCCTTCCTTCCTTCCTTCCTTCCTTCCCGTCCTTTACACATTTCATTGGAAGGCACTTCCCAACTAAGCGTCTGGACTTTTGCTTCCAAGAAAATCGCGGGATGAAGGGAGATGGAGATCAGCATCCAGCCTTGGCTTTCGGTCGCTTCTTTTCGAAGTGTCATCTGTTCCGCCCGATCCAGGCCTTTGTCTGTTCCAGAATTAAATCCCACTCGGTTGGAGGGGTTTGGTCTTAAATGACCGTGCCTAGGACTTTCTCGTTCTCCCTGCCTTTGTGACGGGAGCATGTCCTGGACTTGCACTCCGGGACCCACGCACATGCCTTTACAGGGAGAGCCGCCGAAGTGTGCGGGAATGCGGAAGCGCCTTTTTGGTTCGGGGGCTACAAGCCCCGCTCATTCGCTTGGGCGCCGTGGATATGCAAACCTGGGTTTCTAAGGACAGGTTAGCGAAGCCCCTGTGGGCCTCCTGCAGTTCAGCCGTCCGGAGGAACCGGGAGTGTTTTTATTCTAGCATGTTTGTTTTCTTAGCCTGTGGATGCCCTCCCCGCGGTGGCCTGCCCAAGCAGAAGTGCTCCTAGAACATGCAAACGGGCCGTTTCCTTTCTCCTACAACGGCGGGCCACCACGCAGCAGTTGGGGCAAGAATGCCAGGCTACTTGTGAGAGAATTCCTCAGCACCCAAAGGGAGAAAGGCCCTGAGCCTCGCTCTCTTTTTGCTTTTGCACGAGATGATTAGAAAGACAGAGAGCTTAAAAACAGGATTAGCGCCAGAGGGGAAAAGGTCAGACGCTAGTGATTACTGTAATCGTGCTCTATTGCCTGTAAGATGCGCTTCTTGCACAATTGATCACGCATTAGTTCAGCCACCACGTATAGGAAATACACTGTCAGTTCAATCCATACATCCATTGGTTATCCATCCATTTACTGGGCTATTCCATAATAAATTCCTCAGTAAATAAATGGCAGCCACCAACCCTGGAGAACTTACTCGCTGTATGTCCGTATTTCATAAATTGTTACCTCGTTTGGTTGTGTGTATCTCTGTGCGCCATGTCTTTTACTATCTATTTAGGTAAAATTTTCCCTGTGTTTCATGAAACTTAAAATGAAAGTCCTTTCACGAACAGGAAAAGGAAAACACAGGAGAAAAAAACTATTCTCTGTGTATGCCTATGTGTGTGTGCATCATAACTGTATATGGAAACAATAAAGCATACATTTTGATAGAGTACAGGTGTCTTTGGTAAACAGAGGAAGTACAGGCATAGATTAGATGAACAGGTAGGGAGATACATGTAGAAACGGCTAGTTTACAGGGTGTCTTACAGATTCGACCATAAAATTAACGATCAGGACTGGACACAGGTTGGGATTGTTCCCATGAGCAGGAGTACTTTTTGTTTCAGCAAGGTACTGCTTAAATACATTTCACAGGGCGACATGAATTGCTAACATGCCTCCCTACCAAACTTGTCAGGAAACCACGTGTGACCATTTTGTAGATAAAAAAATGAATGATCCACTATAGAAAACTGTTGAGATGATTTTGTTGGCGCCCTGTCCTTTGTATTTTTACGTGCGCCCCCCGTGTCTTTTACTATTGTAGTCGTGCTTACAGCTGGTTTTATCGCTGGATGCTGTTAATTCACGTGTGCGCAGACACAGCCCAATCTGGAAAAGACCCGGGAGGGGGGTGGCTTTGAGAAGGAAGGTGGTATATTGGACACCTCCTTGTTAACCTGTTTTCCTCCTTGACTGCAGATCAGCAAAAAACCACAGTTATCGAAAACGGGGAGATACGGTTTAACGGGAAGGGGAAGAAGATTCGGAAGCCTCGAACCATTTACTCGAGTCTCCAGCTGCAGGCTTTAAACCACCGCTTCCAGCAGACCCAGTACCTGGCACTTCCTGAAAGAGCAGAACTGGCCGCATCACTAGGACTTACCCAGACGCAGGTAATTCCAAGTTCCTGAGATCCTGGATGGGACAATGCCAGGACAGGCCCAACTCAAACTGAAACAAATTATGGCCACTGTTACCAGCAGTAAAGAACACAACTGGATCTCGTCATATCTATAGGGCCCATGGATGTGTTTGTGTGAGGAAGATGTTCAAATGTAATATATATATGACATGTATATGACATTTGAACTTCAACATGCATGAAGGTTAGAGAGCTTTGTGCCCACCGAACAAGAATTTGGATGTTTGTTCATGCTGATATTGCCAAAATGCAAAGGACAAAATAACCACTGAGATAGGAGGTTCTGAAAAGAATTTTAAAGCTGTTTTAAAGTGGTGGTGGTGGGTAGGAGACGGGGAAGAATAATCTCTCAATTCTGATCTGATACACTGAAGCTATATTTTATATGGTATACAGCCACAGAGCCCAAAGAATGCATGCCTCCCTCAGTAATATTCAATAGTAAATTATCCTGGATGAGTAACTAGAATTCAGGGGGTGCCCTTAGGCGAAATGTACAAAAGGTGATGATAGAGTTGACGATCAAAGGGAAGCATGTAGAAAATTAGAGGAAGTTAAGCCACAGTTAAATGTGGTTGTTGTGTTCTTGGTTTCCCAACAAATTTAAGCTTGAATGACACCCGAAATACTATTGACTAGGAGCAAGAGATAAAGCGATTAATTGGATTCACGGATGGTGGGGAGGGAGTTTGAAATGTTATGGTGCCATTTATAATCTTTTGGGCAGAAGAGAGGGTTAGAGATAGAGTATGCCTGTATGCAGTAGTTGCTGCCAAGAGTGTAAGCAGAAACGAGACTACTGCATAAATCAATTGGGATGTTTGGTGACTGATGTTGATAAGGATGTCTTTGAAGTAAGAAAAGGCATGGAGATATATCTGGGGGGAAATCATACCTTTATGTGTAAAGAGAATCTAGATCTTTAGAAAACTAAACCTACAGAAGAAAGAAAGCGGGCTCTGCCAGCTTTGCACCTAGGATGTTTTGCAAAATGACATCCGGCTTGAATGACATCCAGTTCCTCTACATGGCTGCAATGGTTTTCTTTGTTTCCTTTCAAAGGGTTCTTCCATTTCAAGGGCCTCTAAGGCCCAGTTTCAATGGTTTTGCACCACGTAAAGACTCTGGGATGACCCTGGCTGTAAATTATAGACCTCCAGCCTCCTCCTAAGCATTTAAAGTCTCCAGGCCTTTCCCCAGATACTGTGGAATGGCCTGCTGAAACGGATTCCTTTTTCACTCATGTATTACTTCTTTATAGGCCTAACAGAAATGCAACAAAACTGACGTGTGGATTTAAGCCAATTTAGACCCATTTCAGCCAGCTGCCAGACAGCTTTAAAGCTTGATTGTAACCTCTGCTCCCAGAGTGGAAGTGCACTCCTGTTCAAGAAGATGCATTTTGAAAGAAATCCCACAGACTTTGGTGGAACTTTGTACTAGGTGTGTTATAGTATCATGCCTGTATCCCATGCAGATTTTAGGGCCATAACTATTATTGTCCAGCTAAGTTTCTGAGCTTAGAAGCAGCTGTGCTCCCCTTTGGAGGGTAGAATATTTCATCTCTGCTGCAGGAAAAATCCAATGAATGGAAGCAGATAAAGGCAACCTATGACTTTTGAGAAGCTGTTGAGCTGCAATTCCCATCACCCGACACCTTTGCCTAGAGCTGATGGGACCTGTATGCCAAGAGCCTCTGAAAGGCCCAGGACTGACCACCCTCCTGAGCCAAAGGACCTGTGAACTCAGAAATCCAGCCTATGATCTGTAGTATTGTTCTTTCAGAATGGAGCCACCATTTTATGTTTTGAATCAAAACATGTGGGTCCACCTCTGGCTACCAGAAGCCCTTCAGGGTTCAGGCAGGATTTTTTCCTAGCTTGACCTGAGGATAAAGTTTTTCACTGTAAATAATGCATTGCATCCCCCCCCACACAAATAATTATAAAATGGTGGTTGCATTTTTATAGTTATGCAATATATTATAGGCTGATACCTATCGGAACTGTCCACATATGTAGGTTATCTGCCTATACAGGTGCCTATAAAGGGAGGTGCGCAAAATAAATGGGCAAAGAGAAGGATTGCTTTGTAACTGTCCCAGGTGAGGAAATGGCCTTTGAACAATGCAAACACACAAGTTACCTAAGAGCAGATCCCAACTTCATGTGCTTTAAACAAATGGCATTGGAAGAGTGAAGGGTTATATTGAAGTCTGTGACACAGTGGCAGGCAGGGCCAAATGCTCCATAGAGAAGAAAAAAGAAAGGAAGCAAGAAAGAGAGAGTATTGGGATTCTCTGGCCCTGCCTTTCACCATTTATCTGGTTTGGTCCACATGTCTCAAAAGGTGTCTTCTGCTTTTTGGTTGCAGGTGAAGATCTGGTTCCAGAACAAGCGCTCCAAGTTCAAGAAGTTGCTCAAGCAAGGCAGTAATCCACACGAGAGTGACCCCTTGCCGGGCTCTGCCACTCTGTCCCCGAGGTCTCCAGGGTTGCCTCCTGTCTGGGACGTTTCAGCCTCTGCCAAAGGAGTCAACATGCCTCCCAATAGCTACATGCCTGGCTATTCTCACTGGTACTCTTCTCCACATCAAGACACAATGCAGAGACCACAAATGATGTGAATGGTCCAAGAGAAACAACTTCACGGAGAAGCCGCTGTCTCCAGCACAGCCCTGCCAAAGGGGCCAGCTTGCAGGGGTTCTGGGTGAATTTGGAGTTGTGTGGTAAAGGAAGACAGACTGGGGCAGCTTTCCCTTTCCCTTCCCTTTAACCTCAGCGATTGATCTTGAACAGAAAGAGACTATTTGCGTTGTGGCCCACGTCAGATGCTCCTCTTTAGGATATTTCCCTTGGGACATGGAGGCACCAGTCCTCCCTTGGAGAGTATAAGTTCAAGCAAGCAAGCAAGCAAGCAAGGAACAAAAAAAGGTACAAGCTTTTCCCACCAGTCCACGCGGCAGCTTTTAAAAAAGAACTGGTTCAATGAAGAAGCAGCTAAGGAAGCTGTCCTATTTTCATTCACTAAAATCAGATTAACACAGTAGAGATTGGAAAGGGGTGGGAAGGTTTGCTTTTTTTAAAAAAAAAGGAGGGAGAAAATAATATTTGGAAAGATGGGGGCATGGGAGGGGAGGAAGAAACTGACCTTAGAACACTTCCACCAAGCAAAGAGTCCTTGTGTTTCCTGGGAGTGGAACTGACAATCTCTTTGAAGTCTATAAGGCACCTGAAATAACCTGAAACTGACCAGATGTTGCACAGTTGAAAGGGAAGTAAAGCTGTAGCACTTCTGCAGCCTTTATTCATTTCTGTGGGGCTTTTAAAATAGAGTTTCCTATGTGGCTTATGCCCAAAGAGAAAGAGAACAGAGAAAAATAACTTGCCTAACAGAACAAGGCAAACCTCCCCTTCATCCTACGGCTGAAATGCCATCCTCCTACCCCATCAACCCAACGGTCTGCGGCACTCTCTCAGTTTCCCAGCCATCCACCAAACTTGCTGTACATATTGTTCAATTTTAGTTGTATATATACTTTGTATGTTTTGTCTCCTTTCATATATAGAGTAAAAAACAAGAAAATGTCCAGCAGAGTCTTTCTCTATATTTTGGAAAGATACAGTAACTGCTCTCCTCCTCCCAATTCTTTTGAAGTGCAGGGCACTGGAGTTAAATACCCCAGTCCTAAAACATGTAGTATATTAGCCCAGTCTTTACTCTCTCAGTGATGTTCTGCTCCCTGGCAAGCCTGCAGCCTGGAAATCCATGTAAGGAAGTGTCCTGAGTGACTTCAAGAGGACTGCTCTGGAGTGAACATGCCCTGAATATGCTATTTAGCTGAGATCTGAATAGAAAGCTTAGGAGAGAAAGATGCAAATATCATACGATGGAAAAGAATGCACAAGAGATATTCCTATGTTTATCGACATGTGTTCTTGTAGTAGGTGGTGGTTGGTTAGTGGCAGAGGCATGTTGTGTAGCTCATACACACACGAGTGCACCCAAGCTAGTCCAGAAATCTTGTCTGTTTTGTGACTGTCTACCTATTATTTACTCATTCAAGTGTTTAAAAAATTTCCGAAAGGAAATTCATCTTGATCCACCATCTGGTGGATTTAAACCAACCAGCTTCCTCTGAAGTCAACAGTGCTTTAAAAATAAAAAAAAGCTCTTTCCAGCACCTCCTTGGGCATTAACAGGGTTGGATACTGCCTGCCTTCTGCTGTGTTGCCAAGTAAATGTTTTGATTTTGGGAAATCTAGTGAAACACACACACTTTCCTTATCCTGTTTCAACCTGATTGTCAGGACAGTCGGCCCTCAGCCGATTCTCCGGGCTGTTGGTGGTTCTATTTTGGAGCAGATTCAAACGAAGCCGAGAGCTTGCCCACCTTTGTTATGTGGGGCTGCCTAGGTGTTGTTATTGTAGTCCGCTTCTCCAGGCAGACCATTGAAGCTGCCTACTTGTTCCCCCCCCCCAGAGCTCCGAGAGCGCTTTCCCTGGTTCACAATGCCAGTGTCCAAAGCGAATGATATCCTTCGTAGGTTGTGCAAAAGGCAAGAAATCATAAAACATGAAAAAGCCCCTTTCGTCACACAAGCAAGATGCCCCATACTGTGAGAATTAATGGCTAGAGCCCTGGGCATCCTTCAAATTATGAACCTTGAAACCACTGAGCCATTTATCAGAAGTCAATGGAGATCCTCGGAGTGCTGCATATAATGACAGCTACATACAGTCGTGCAAAAGGACAGTCACTATAATTAGACACAAAAGCCAAGACTACTTACCAATATACCAGCGCCGGGTTTTTGTTGAGCAACTTCCACGCTCAGTCAGTCTTCAGAATGGCTTAAAACCGATCAAGTCTTGTCATTTTCTACCATTCGTATTGTTACATTAGGAGGAAAAAATGTTTTCTTTTCTCTTTTTTTTTTGCACCCCCTCCCCATTCCTACTGTGAAACTTTGGGTTCTGCTCTCCCCAGGATCAATTGCGAACAAAGACCCCAGCTGCAGCGCCATCCAATTTGAAGCAGACATTGGGGACAATTTAAGGTTTTTATCCATAAGAAGGTTTTTTCCCCCATTCTCTTAAATGCAGCCATAATTAGAGTAATTTTTCATGTAGCCCGCTGATTACAGCGTTTTTACCGTCAAAGATAATTACCTGTAATTTTCTTCCACTTTTAATACTAAAAAGCCATCTTTATTTAGATTCAGGAACAGGAAAGGCGAAACAAAAGAGGGAAATTATTCTGTTATTCATACACAAATTGCAGAGACGTAGGACCTAAAATTGAAAATTAACCAAAATTATAATGCTAGGAAGAATGGAAGAGGCTTCTGAGGTACAGCTGGTTGTGGGGTTCACTGAATTATTCAGATCGTGTTAGAGAGAGAAAGCTATCATATCCAGGGTAGCCATTCCCCTTCCTCAACCAGCCAGGCTATCCTTTCCCTAAAGGTTTCTTGATGATGATGATGATGGATAATCCTAAAACCAGTAGAATCCCACCGAAGGGGGTCCAGGGGGATAGAGATGCAGCAAGCGAAGCCCCACTCCAGTAGCCTGTGAGACCAGGGTCCCAATTCGCGGCATGCTTTCTAGAAGCAAGTAGTACCACTGGGATGAATGGTTAGGCCTCAGTCACTGGTAAAATAAATTTGCATATATTAGGGCGGCATAAAAAGAAAGCAGATCTCGGTCTCCTGAAATAAAATGGCACAGCTCCCGCGCTTTTGAATGGAATCGGCCGGCGCACTTCAGTTTATCTAATAATACTTATTTTTGGTTTAACTAGGAATCTGAAGCGGGCTGGGTGATCCAATTCGAGGCGACTGTGAGTTCCATTCATACCCTTCCCTCTCTACACACACTAAGGAACCGCGTATCTCCCACTTTAATGGTATATTAATCTGTTCCTGATCTGCTCGTCTAAATTACACTGAAGCTCGGTGGTTTTATCCGCTGCAACTTGCCGTAAAGATCCAGTTCCTCAAAAGAGGGGTTGGGAGTGGAAATGGATAGAAAGGAGAAATACCTCTTTCTCTCTTCACCTCTTCCCAGTTTTTTAAATATAAGCTAGTTGCGGAAATATGTCCATTTAAAGGGGGTAAATTGGATAAACAGGAATTAATAAAACATGGGCTCCTGAACAAGATGGACTTTTGCGGGGACTCAGAATGAAAGTTTGAAACTAAAACGTTTTGAGAGGAGGGGGCGCTCCACCAGGGAACAGCGTCCTCTACAGACAGGAGTGAGTCCCTTCTGCTACATGGCTAGAATATGGGACTTCTGAAGCTCCAGGTTTTTGTCCTACCTCTTCATCCATATATATATATATAATTATTTTGGATAAATAGAAAAGACTTCCCTCGAACCAGTCCCAAAGTTCATCAGACTTTCGCTCTTTGGTATCAACCAGCACAAAATATTCCCCAGTTCCCACTTTCTAAAAGCTCATCAATAGGAAAGGGTTACTTGACGGAAAAAATGGAGGTGCGGAGATTTAATTCACCCTCAACTGATAGGGAAATCGAATTGAAATTTCTATAGTCCTTGAATAACCGGGCCTTCAAAAGCAAGCCACAGAATCACACGTAGTAATTTTTTTCCAAAGGCAAGATCCTGCAACCACACAATGAGAACAGTCCATTTAATGCAAATTAAAACCGAAACAGCTTCTGCAGTCTATTGAAACAGGACCTTTACAGAGCGGATTCCCAACAGGCTTGCTTGGAAATAAGGTGGACCTTGGGAATGTAGGTTTTACACCTCATCAGTATGATGGACAGCTTTGGCCGAGGCCCTTGGCGGAGGACTACGGCCCCTTGAAATCAATGGGATTTATTTTCATTACTTTTTTAGGAGATGAGTGTAAATCAACTGACAAGTAGACTCGGCATTACAAAGTTAAGTCCAAGTTGCTGTACTGGAGCGTCTCTGGCTTTTTAAAAAAGATTTAAACAAAGTATCGTTTGGAAATCCAACATCTTTGCAAACATTTACTCTGAGCATGCATACCCCAAAATGTCCCACTATACTAAATGGGGCTGGTTTACTGGTAAGCTTGCATGGTGTAGCAGCTATGGGAAAGCTACACGCGCGCACACACACACACACACAGGCACACTGTAGTTCACACATTTGATTAAATTATTTACAGGAATGAAACGATTCTAGATTGGATCTGAAAGCGTAGATGGAAATTGTAAAACCTTGTAGTAACAGTAAAGAACGGAAGTTACCTTTTAATACCCTCCCCCACGGGCATGACACCTCACTGATGTTAACAACGCAGAGATCCCCCTTTTACTCGGTCCGTTTTGACACCCCCACTCCTTTCTCAATACTCCCCCCCTTTTTCCCCCTGAACCTTTGAGTCATGGAGCGCGAAAATGTCGAGGCAACCGGATGGTGTGGAAAGCGATCCGAATTCCGGAGCCACCCACCTAAAGCCCGGCAGATCCCGGAATAAAGCTGGGAAGCAGCAGGCGAACAAATCAACGAATCAACAAGGGAAGGAACGAATAAACGCTCGCCGTCGTGACTAGATTAAACAAAGGTTTTTGGGGGGGGGGAAACGGAGAAATCGTAAACACCGGTTTAAAAAAGAAACCCCGCATAAAGATAAAAAAGCTAACCATCATTAAAGGGTGCAAGAGCTACAGAGCAGCAGGGATAGGTGGAAGTCAAGGAGCCTGAACCGAAACAAAGCCAAACTTACCCCCGTGCAAATCTGTTAAGCAGAGATGAGGGTCTAAAGAAATCTAGAGTGAAGAGAAGCAGAGCAGAGAATGTTTTTTTCTGCGTCTCAGGGCAGAAGCTCTTTCTCTATATTCTTGGTTGACTGAGCATATCCAGGTGTGAAATTGTTTGCACACCCCAGCACCTCTTATATTGCCAGCAAAATTAGCTGTTATTACTGTCACTGTTTAGTGATGGTTAGCTTGATAAAAAAAAACCCGCTGTAATCAAGACCTGGCGCATCTTTGCAAATTACAGATAATTGTAAACGTCCAGATTATGATAATAGCATCCTAATCCAGCCTGCAATATAATTATTACAGAGTGTTACATCTGAAACTGTCCAGTAGGGCTAATTCGGCCATTATTTAGACCTTTCTCCCCCTTCTCTCCCCCCCCCTTCCCAGTACCAATGGGTTGCTGAGCTGAAAATGTACGATTGTAATTTCACGGGGCACTCAATGAGTAATGATAGAGGGAGGGGGGGAACACAAAAGTGAAATGTGAACAGGAGCGATCAAATCAAAATCGAGAGGACCCCTCCTCCCCTTAAAATGGGGGGAGAGAGAGAGAGAGAAAGAAAAGAGTCTGGGTTGGTTCAAGGGGGAAAATAGGAAGAGCGGGAATTAAGAATAGAGCAAATCACGGGGCTGCAACGTTACGTGCCCAAGGCTGGGCGAGCGAGGGACGAGGCTTTGTTGTGTATTCAAGGGAGGCTGCTGCCGCTGCCTGTCGGATTTGGGGCACGCCCGTGTGCCCGTGAGATAAATCAGGAAGCCGAGATGCTCTCCT